TGGCAAGTTTGAATATGTGAAAGCTGAAGTTTAAATGTAAATTTGAAAACCGGACTTTCAGTGAAAAGTGAAAAATGTTGACACAAAATTATCATTTGGCTTCAGAAGACTTGGGATATAGTGTAGTCATGTTGTCCACAGTTATGGTGCTGCTTTGTCATTTTTAGAGTTGGTTCCCATCTGCTTTCATTTTTGGAAAAGAGCAGCTTGAACATTCTTCAGAATTTCTACTTCTGCGTTGCCACATATTCTCAAGTCAGAGGGGTTTGGAACGACGTGAGAACGATTAAATTGATCCAGGTTTCTCAAATGACACTGATCCTGTAGTCAACAATGTGCGTTTTCAGATAAAAGTGTCATGTACTGTAGATATCACAGAATCTGTTACTTCATTTGTTGTGTAATGGCTCTGAGAATTATATGGCCATTTCCTGGGACTCATAAGACACGAGACAGAGAGCTTGATTGAAAATCAAAGCCTTTTCTTTCCTCCGTATCACTGTAAGGAGTTTAGACTGTAAGAGTGAACCATTATAAAGAGATTGGAGATAATGTTTCAATAGATCTGCTTCCATTAGAGTCCTTCACTTTGGCTATCAGAAATACTGTTACCGGTATGAGCGATCTAAGAGAAGATATTTTAAGCATTATATAGTCACATATAAAACATTAAAGCATTAAAGTCAGCAATTACTGATTATATGCATTCACACTTGCACATTATTTTACAGTATTTTCACGGTTATTTTCATGGCCCGCTTTGCAAAGGACAGCTATTTCACACCTGATCTTGGCTGATAGCTTGGGGGCGAGAGTTCTTGTTTTGGATGGTTATCTGTCTGATAAAAGAGAGGTATTTATTTTAGCATACTTTTTGTTGATTCAATCTCAAGTTCTTAGTATTTCACCCATTACATTTGCAAATTAACGACTTTTATAAGCACATATAAACAGGTTAATAACTGACACCCATTCTTGGTTAGACTCCTTTGTCATGTGTCATGGCCCCAGAGAGTGATCTCTTCTCTTTATATCCTGCTCTGATCCCCCAGTTGAGAAGAGCCAATCTGGGTCACTCATTTAGGTAGGAAAAAAACACCTCCCTCTCCTCCCTTTTGGCCGGCCACGTGCTAATGAGCTCATTTCGGAGGTCATTGACTCCCTAATTGAAATCAGAGTGCTTTGTGACCCCCAGAGTCGTGCTATAATTAGAGATGTTCTCTGACTCCTTGATCCTGTGCGGAAATAACTCTCTGAATATGACCAAACAGGAAAGACCCCCTCAATAGGTATTATTTTGGTTAAATGTGTCTTTTGTTGGCTTTATTTTTTTGTTAATACCACAAGTTGACATATTTGGCCAACATAGCTTACACTTCCTTCATCATAAACTTCTTTTTAGGCTTCTTTAGTCGAACTATCTCGGTTTGTTCTCGACCTAGTTCTCTTCGATATCGAGTGCAGAGCAAAGTGAAGACCCTGAGGTCTTCATATCACTTAATTCGTAGTTTTCAGTTAAAATGCCGACTTATTGCTAACTAGATTGCCTGAAAGCACATATATGTCACCCAAGTGTCTATTTAATATATGTGTTTTCATCTGGAAGGCGTATTTTTAACGCATTAGCTCTAAAATATTACCCTTTGGATGTTTAAAGAACGTCGTTTTGAGATGTTTGATTTAGAATGTCAGTCTGCTCTTTTTAAAATATTTATCAAGTGTTTGTGCACAATAATTCAAATGTGAAGGCTTTTCTAACAAACATCTTGGAGATGTATTCTAGTGCATTAATAGTGTTAAAGTTATAGGAAAGCTTATGTTTTAGGCTTTGCTTGTTTGTAAACGAATTACACTGCTGTCATGACACTCAGCTGACATTTTGTTTTCTGTTGGCTTGATAATGCGACACTTTTTAGTAGGTGACTATATAAGGTAGAATATATAGAAGAGGTAAAAGACCAATCACAATTCAGTATGTAAATGAGTGCAGGAAAGTAGACCAATCAGTATACAAATACTGTGGTTTCATCATCGCTTTTTTAAATGATGAACATTCTATAATGTAAGCTGAAATTTCAATCAAAATTTCTTAAAAGAATATTTAACCCAAAAATTAAACTTTCAATGTTTTGTTTGGACCCCATTGACTTCCATTGTATGGACAAAATATTCTTCACAGCATCTTCTTTTGTGTTCCACAGAAGAAAGTCAAACTGGTTTGGAACAACATGATGTTGAGCAAATTCTGACAGAATTTTCATTTTTGGGTGAACTGTTCCTTTAAGTATAATGTTTACCAAAATCGCTGACTGAAATTATCTTGAAAGTTTGAATGTAACCTGTATGTTTAGTAGTTCAAGATTGCATGACTGCAGAAGACTGTGGAAAAAGACAAAAAAAAGCAGATGAGTTTCAAAAGAGTGCTACGTTGCAGGGTACAGTGGCAATGCTAATGCTACTGAGAGCTTTTCTCAGCGCTAGGCTAATTAGCACATATATTACATTGGGAAAACGGGCAGGAAATTGCTTTGTCACATTTCCACATAGCAGAGTGTGTTTGTGGCACATTCTGACACATTTCCAAGTCTTGTTTAATTTCCAGTGTGGTTTAACCATGTAATGAAAAAGACAAGAGACCAGGCGCAAAAGAAAACGTAGACCAATATGAGGAAGAAAGGTGTTGTTTTGCTGTTAGTTTTCGATATTAGTCCGACATCCTGCAGTTTGTTGGTTATAACAGGATTTTTTCTAGTATTGTCGGGTTGTGTCACATTTCTAAGTGA